TCAAAGTGAATTAATGTTAATACCATTAAAAAGGTACATTTTACACCAAAAGTGGATTAATGTTAATACCATTAAAAAGGTATATTTTACACCCACAGAAACGTGCAGTTTAATGAAAAAATTATGACTGACAGGAATGTGATCTAATTACTACTTTTTTTGACAGTATTGTGTCGCACTAAGTGACGCCTTGTATTGGAGTTATACGCTAATTTATTTACCATTTCTCATAGCTGAATTAAAAACATAATCTGTACTCCATTCACGCTATCGGTAATATTTTCATGTTAATAATAAACTCCAGATGGCGTGGCAAGTATCTTTAGCTTTTTATTGCACAATATGTCGCTGCTTTTTTATGTCAGAAACTCTGAAAAGTTTTTATCAGTTTTAAGCTCTCTACTTTGTAGTAAATGTAATAAATATATAAAGATTTAATACAACAACAAAAAATTGATTTAAAAGACTGAACTCAACACACAAAACTCCATATTGTACAATTCTTAAATTTTTTATATGAGGAGGAAAAGAATACAACGTCTCAGTAATTTTATCAATGAAAGACTTAATGCAATGAGCTTTTCACGCAAAAACATTTACATTTTCCCTGTAGATAAATAAACTTATTTGAGGCTTAAAATGTTAATTTAAACTGTTGTTAAAATGAATGTTAACATTATATTATCTTTTAACACACTTCTGATACCAGCTTACGGTAAAAGGTTTGGTTTGAAGTTCGCGCAAAGTTACACGAGGGTTATCTGTGCTAGCCGTCCCTAATTTAGCAGTGTAAGACTAGGCAGCTAGTCATCACCGCCAACTGTTGGGCTATTTTCTTACCAACGAATAGTGGGATTGACCGTCACTTTATAACGCTTCCACGGCTGAAAGAGCGAGCATGTTTAGTGGGACGGAGATTCGAACCCGCGACCCTCAGATTGCGAGTCAAGCGCCCTAACCTGTGGGACAGCGGTATGTTTGCTGACTTACAACGCTATAAACCGGGTTTCGATACCATGGTGGGCAGAGCACAGATAGCCCACTGTGTAGCTTTGTGCTTAATTCCAAACAAACAAATACTAACCAACTAAGAAGCTTCGGGTTATTAACAACTGCCCCCCCCCCCCAGTGGCACAGCGGTATGTCTGCGGACTTACAACGCTATAAACCGGGTTTCGATACCCATGGTGGGCAGAGCACAGATAGCCCATTGTGTAGCTTTGTGCTTAACTACAAACAAACAATATTAACAACTTTGTAAAATAACTCATTTCTGATGAACCAAAATTCAGTAATGGTACGCTTCAAAGTAGCCAATGTAAAGAAATATAATTCAAATTTAACTTATGTTTGTAAAGATAAAGTTACACACCCAGTCAATAAAATAGCATAATCCCAATGTCCTTCAGACGATCCTGAGGGATTGTTTCGTTCTTGCCATACGCAGAAGTTATCGAGATATTTATCGATATCTCCACCAGCAGTATCTGGACCGGCCTAAAAATATAACTTGGAGGGTTAGGTTGTTTCCTAAAAGCAAATTTTAAACGATAGCAAAATATAATTAAACTTATTCGTATTTATTACATACTTTAGACATTTTAAGTATTAAAAAAAATCATGATTTACGAACATCTTTTTCTAAAAAGTAATTATATTTTAATAACAATATATGCACAGAAAATGTTTAATCTTTTACAAGTGTTTCACGAAGACAGCTTTTTGTGTGTATATTTTATTATAATTTGGCTTATTAATATTCTTATTTTATGTCCAAATATTCTTATTGATAAAGCCTTATAGATTGGACCATACGAAAAAAAATTGGTTCTCGAAGAAATATTGCCAAAATGGCAAATGCCTGGCCCTGCGATTTATTAACTGTGATGGCAAAATCAATAAATTTTATGATGAAGGTATAATTTGAATTAAAAATGCATTTAATTTTGTTGACTATTTTTTTTAAATATCTTTCTGAAGTTGAAAAATATCAATAACATTGTAGCGCTATCTGTTGTTTTGAAAATATACTTAAGTTATCTTTGACACATACAGTTACTAGTGTTTATTATGTAGTACGATATTATCCCTTAAATCTATAACTGAATAATCAAAAAGCTTGCTGTAAATACGATAATAAGTATTAAAAAATTAACATGAAATCCCGACTCGACTAGGTTTCAACTCGAGATTTCCACATGATTGTTTAGTGCTATAACCACTGTAACACCCAGTCTTTGTAATAGAACATTAACAAATAATTCAAATCTTTAATGTAAAGTTTTGTGTTTTGTGTTATCAAGTTTTTCCAAATGCTGTAACATATTTCTCTTAACGTAATGAGGTGATAATTTAAAAAAGTCATAAACAATCTCCACTCAGTTTGGATTTAAACTGAAGTCTTCCACCTGAGACAAACTACTGAGCCAATTTGAACATTACCTACAGAGAGTCGAGCGTTACCGATAAAGGGAACGTTACGAACAGAAAGTGTCTTATTATGTGCGTGTGCGTATATATATATATATATATTACATATATCAACACATATTCATATTTATTACATACTTTGATATTTTAACTAGCCAAAAATTCGTGATTTATGAACATTATATATATTGTTTTCTTATCGAAAATAAAGTGTGTAAATTAGTTGACGATTTGCAAGTAAAAACTTTTAATAATGCAATAGTTATATGATAGGATAACTTGATCTTTGAGCCATACGATATTATATATTTACTTAATATTAGGATCTCAAAAAAGATGTTTACCCCAGAAAGAATCTCCAGCTTCACGATGACAATTTTGAACTTTTGTTTTAAAGAATTGTAGTTATACACCAGTTCGACCTGTGTTGCAAGAAAGGTGAAACCAAAGCCGGTTAAATATAACAAATTCAGCATTTAAAATAACTTTAATGCATGCAAACGTTATTGTTAACAATATTGCATACAAATAAAAGATAAATGTAAAACGACAGACTGCTAATACTAAGTTTTATTTACATTCCATTTATAAGAATTTTCTATAGAAATTATCAGTGAAATAATATTTAAAAAATCACGAAACATTTTGACTTAATTCGTGTAGAAACTGAACGATTATTTTTTAAAGAAATACTATTTAGCATTTACAGGTTATTAGCCCATTTACTCAGAAACTAACATAAAGCTTTCCAACTTTAACAGTTTAAGCAGACAGAGTGTATAAAATAACATCAGTGAAATGGATGTTGTAGGCAAAGAAAATTTTAGCAGTCTATTTGCAAATTTTACAAATTAACTTCTACTGAAATTGCCACTCAACACATACAGAAACTATTATCTAACTCAAGCTGAAATTACTTTTTTCTTTCTATAAACTTTGTTAGTTATTCTATGCAGAAATATGCAGTGAACTTTGATTGAAAAACTTTGTACGAAAAATTAAAAATTGCCAATTAATTACAATTTCTAAAGAAATTACTGGTATCCTTCTACAGAATATACACGTTAGATCTCAGGAAACACAAAATGGTCAACACGTATTGACGATAAAAATTAAACTGCAGAGAAAATAATAAAGTTATATTTTATGTAAATTAAAAGTCAGATTGAAAATAAATTGCCAGTTGCTCAGTAGTTGTTTCACACTCCTGGGAGCCCCCCAGTGGCACAGCGGTATGTCTGCGGACTTCCAACACTAGAATCCGGGTTTCGGATAGCCGTGGTGGGCAGAGCACAGATAGCCCATTGTGTAGCGTTGTGCTTAATTACAAACAAACTGGAACACTCCTGGGGATCGACCTCGAAGTATATTTTACGACCGTTGTTCGGTCTTTAAATAAAGACTTTAATTGTATATTAAACAACACTGATCGTTTGAGGATTTTAAGTATTTACACAAGTTCCTTGAATTTTAACCTTTTAAAGAAGTACTAGTTCTACTTGTATAGAAGTCAAAGTTCATAGAAATTACCAATCGACTTGTAGACGTAATACTAGTCATGACCAATAACTTTCAATTTGTACCTGAAATACTGGTTAAGGCATACAGAAATTACCAGTCAAGATGTTGAAAAGTACCAGCCAATTAGTACAGAAATTGTCAATTCAGAATTGGAATAGTCAGTCATAGATAATAGCGCTATTTATGTATGTTGAGCCTATGTATCTAAATCATTTGTTAATATGTATATTGTAATAAAAATGTCATTTTATAAATTGACGAGTAATTTTTTATCTAGTTCATTTGAACCTTTTCTTCGCGGTTTACACTTTTAACTCAATAATTTGTTTCAAACAATCAAAGACTAAGTTTAAAAAAACGTTGTTTTTTGCACAATATAATCTGTAACTCTGCCGTAATTCAGTAGAAATAGAGAAAAATGAGGT